AAAAAGAAAAGCTTCGCATCCCCCTGCAGTCAAAACGCTGCGCAGAAACAGGCGAAGCATCTCCCTGGTACCTGCTGCCTCTCCTGCCAGCTGCGAGCTGCCATCCAGCTGATGAGCAGGGATGAGAAAGCGGCGCCCGGGCGGGCTGCCCAGCGCCCCAGCGAGGCTCCGGAGGTGGCATCTGGATGACAGCCCCGCTCGCCCACTGCCAAACTCATTTTCCTTGAGCAAGGTTAAGTGGTTTCAGCGTTTCCATCTCCCTCTGCCCCGATCGCCTTCGCTGGCACCTTCTCTGTCGGTTTTGCACCAAGCCGGGGAGGGTTTCTAGCCCTGTTGCCCCAGAGCACCCACGCAGCCGCGGGGCCAGTGGCCCCCTCACCCTCCCGGGGTGCCCGCAGCCACCCAGCCCGGGGGCTCTGCTCAGACAGCAGCTCCTTCTACGGTTACATTATGTATAAGGCTGCTTTAAGTGCAAGATTTCATCTCTGCATGCTCAAATATCTAAAGGGACATATTTTTGGATATATTCCACACACCTCCCGAAGCCTGGACTAAGGTCTGCAGGGTGTCAGACCCGCACGTGGGTCTCGCTGCCCTTTCCTTCGTGCGTTTTAGATGACAGAAGAGAGCGAGCGCCAGCGTCACAGCTAAATCCACAGGGCCAGAAGGAATCTCAGAGCGTGACGTTACTCAGCAGCACGGGTGGCTGTAACGCCCCCAGCACCGCCGGCTGCCCGGCAGAGGGGCTCTGCCACCTCACCCGCGGCCCGAGCGCCAGCACACACACGTGTGTGCAAGCCCCTAAGGTGCCTGTGATAAACTGGGCTCTCCTGGTTTTGCTGGTACATAAAAGTCTGCCCTTGGGTTTAAGAAAGCCCAGAATATTAAAGTATACCCTAAGCAGCTTGCTTGCCTAGGAGCGTGCTGGGGAGGGTTGGCACCAGCACACAAAGATGTTTACTGGGTAGTCTTAATATAGATGGAAACCATGGGGGTTTTTCTCTGCGTTACCCCACTGGGTTGACGTGGAAGTTGAGTAGCGTCCAGCCCTTATGTTGGTTCTTACGTACCGATTTCACCTGGTGTTTTCTGTGCTGAGACCAAGTTATTTAAAAACAATAAATCCCCAGACAAGCCAGTGCATTTCTTTTTCATTGTTATGGCAACACATATAAAGAGTAATAAAGCTGGATCTTGGCGACTGTTGGAAAAGGTCCACATCAGTCGGTGGCAGTTGACTGAAGTCCATTAACAGCACCTCCGAAGCCAGCTGGCATGTGAAATGTGGAGAGCGGTGGGGCCTTGCCAATATTTAATGCAAGTTTATAATCTTTTATCTTTTATTTTCCTCCTAGGATCCCCGGAGCAAACACAAATTTAAAATCCACACGTACTCCAGCCCCACCTTCTGTGACCACTGCGGGTCGTTGCTCTACGGGCTCATTCACCAGGGGATGAAATGTGACAGTAAGTGACGAACCTGGGGGCTGAGGTGGCAGAAGTGGGGGCACCCCGAGGCCTTGGGCAGGGGCTCCCAGCCCGTCTGCACTGCGGCCCAAACCCCGTCCCCTCTGTCACCAGTGCAGAGCCTGCCGCTGGCTCCGAGGGGCTGGGCACGACTGGGCACCTTCTCGCCTCTCATGAGGAGCCCCCCCAAGTCCTGGTGTGAGAGGGGAGGGCAAGGGGTCTGGCTGGGGGGATCCTGCCTGCATCCCCCCTGCAGCATCACCCTCGTCCCCTTCATCTCCCCTCCCTCAGCACTGCCCTCATCACTCTCGTTTCCCCCTCAGGATTGTCCTTGTTCCCCCCCTCGGCATCTCCCTCGTCCCCCCCTCAGCATCTCCCTCGTCCCCCC